AATAAACCAGAAGACGACAAAAGTAGTCAAAATACCCAGTGCAAGCAGCAACTTGCATAAAGAGCAATTCAGTTTTCTGCTTTTTTTTTGAATCCAACACATACTCATCAATTCATTTAAGCGACAATTCCATATTTAAACAAACACAGAGCAGCTTTGCAGGCCAAAACTGCCAGAGGAGTTCAGTGAGCTGCTTCTGAATGTTATGTTCTATTGTCTGCCACAATTTTCTAGCAAGCTTTAAGTTAAAGCTGAGGAATTCAGAAAGCAGCAGAGAGAGTTAACTGTAAATTTGAAAAACAGCTTTGATATGCGTCAAGTTCAGAGAGGACTAAGAAGTGAAAGCTTGAGTGATTAGACTGCGCAGATGTTAAAAAAAATGAAGAGTCATGAAGCAGGCTGGCAGCTCAGAGGAACAAGAGAAATAACTGTTTAAGAAAGTGAAACTAAAAATAACTGAGGGCTGCTTGAAGATTAACTAAGAAAGCGTGAATAGAATTTTCTCTATAAAAAGGAAAGAGAATTATGCACCAAGTTTACAGCTTATTTGGCAAAACACCTAGTGGCTGTAAATCAGCTTAGAATATTTCACCAAATGCTTCAGTATTAAACCACTCCTTTCCTAGTTATACTGGCCACCAGCACACTACACAACCAAAAGAAGCTGTGGGTTTGGCAATTTCAATCACCCCAGAAGCACATTCACACACACATCACAAAACCCAAGACAAACAGAACTGATTCCTCCAGAACAAGAAGGGTCTGGATTCTCGATATGGAACTGAGCCTTGGAGGCAGATGAGGAAAGCAGAGAAAGGCCAGCTACTGCGGCCAGTCAAGACTACAAAGGAAATTACACTGGAGCTCCTTCCTTAAGGAAACAGTTCTTCCTACAAGCCTCAGAAAGAAGTTCCTAATTATTTTTTCTTCCTGTATCCACAGGAGTCAGCATAATGTATTACGATCAGCTTGGTTTTATTTTTGAAGACTGCTGGCCACACCAGTTGGCCAAGGGAAAAAGCACTAGGACTTTCCGTAGTGGTAGGAGAAGCCACACAATGTGCGTAGCTCTCCCACGGGAAGAGGACAGCTGCAGGGAGGCCTTTTTGCTGTGAGTAGAGTTACAGAAGTGAGGACAACAGTGAACAAGAGAAGACACAATAAAATACAAACATAGGTGGCTACAATTACCCGCAAGTGATAAAATCAACTCAAATTACCTCCTGAAATTTACATATATTTCAGTATCTTATAATGCCCATCACAATGTGATCCAAGGACGGAAATAATAACATTTATGAAGGAGTAAGTGGGTATGCTCAGCCATTTAGAACAATCTTCACATTCTGAAAATCTGTATTCTTGGGAATTTATTTTTTAATTTTTTTTTCCTGTGTTTCCAATGTGTTTCAATCCAAACTTTAAAGTGTTCAGACACAAAAGTTTATAAGCATTCTGTAAACTCAGTGCCAACCCAAGAGTTCACACTGACAAAACCCACCCAGCCAGGATGTAACAATGATTTGCATACACTTATATAGGTTCTCTAGAGTCAGAGACTATTACTACTAACTCTGGTTTTTTTATGCTATTTTTAAATATAATAAAAAGAATATCCCAGATTTGATCAATATTAAAGAGAAGATATTGAAAAGCTATATACTAACCTGTCCCAGCCCAGGCATACCTCCTCCAAGTCGCAGAAGTCTATCCATATTTCTAGAAAAACAGAAACAAAGGAAAAACGTTCCCAAGCTCTGAAATGTTTACTAAATTGCCATCTATATAATTCACCTTCAGTCACTCAGTATGTCAAAAATATTGGTGGTAATTACAACACAACATCAGATTTCCTGTTAATTAACACCACATATTAATTCAAGAAGCTGTCTTCCATGCTAATTAACAGACTTTGGTTTATTGCTTTGGTTTTGGGTTATTCCCATTTCTGAAGATGAGCACTCTTATCAAACTTTTCAAAACTTTCTTATCATTCAAGTAATTGGGGGATTTTTGTTGCTTAAGAACAGCACCTACATTCAGGAAGTGCCTAAAACTTATTAGATATACAATCAAGTTTACTCCAATTTGTTCAGAAAGTATCAATAAAAAATGTGAAAGTAAGGATTTTAGCATCCTCATTAGTAAGTTCTGCGCTAATTAACTTACAGCTTGTCAGTTATCATCAAAACTACATGTGAAAGACACTGAGCAGATTATAGATCTCTGAATTAGCATCAAAAGCTTTTTCTTAATGAACTCATTATACTAAAAGAAATACTGTAAAGTAAACATTTAATGTGTATATAGTTAGAACACTAGTGACAGCACAGTCATTCAATACTTTTCCAGTGTTGCATGTGCCATTGCTTTAGTGCAAGATTATTCCAACCACTGCAACTAGATCATTACTTAAAACAAACAAACTTTTCTATCTCGTAACTTTCAAAGGAGTGATCTCCAGGAATAAACATTGTTAAGGTGCCCAACTGAAAAAAATACACTGATGTTTATTTCTCTGAGGTTTATTCACTTTCTAATGTTGAAAAGCAATCTACTATTTAATTGTGGATATCTAAGTAAGGGTTCTGTCCCAGCTGTAACAGACCTTTATCTTGCTTACTTGGCTCTTCCAACTTCTTAGCTTTATACAACAAAACCCAGTGATAAAATAAACAAGAACTACTGATTATTACTTTTTAAACAGCCGGTTTCAGCAAATCAAGCCATTTCCAAGGCTTACAGAAATAAGTCAATTTTACTAGCTTATTTTATTTGTGAAATAGAAGATACAAACTAAAGCATCAGAAACTATGATCATAATTGCACAAGTTCTAATATAACATAACAAAGCCTGTTCAGGTGATACAAAAGCAACTGAGAACCGCACGTAATGATATTTCCCAAATACATTCATCCTCCAAAGGGATGTTAAATTACACGAGAATTACATACATAATTTCAGACTGCATTAACAATACTAATTCAAGACCCTTCTTTTAAAAATAATTATGCAAAAGAACTTTGAACTTATCATGAAAAATAAATTTGCTTTGTATATTAAAAATAAAAAAAAGTCTTATGTTGTAGGTGATTGTCGTCTCATTATTCCTTCTGAAATTTGCTAATTTTTTACTGGCTAGATACTAACAGGCTTTATTTCAGTTTAAGTTTAAAACAAATATTTTAAGCTTCTTGTTAACACAAAGAGGCAGCATTTGAACTTACCACTAGACAAGATTATCTAGCTCCTACTTTAGTCATGTATGGAATTTCACCCATTTCAAACAACAATATCTAGATACATGGATCAATAAAACTTGCTCTATTTGCTAATTTCACTTTCCTAGTTTAACGCATTAGCAAGCAATTAACTTCATTTGATTCACTCCCTTGATTTTGTAGAACATGCAAACCCAACAACTACAACTTCAACTAGCAATAAGTACTTTCTTAAAGCTACCTTGGCACCATATGAATTAAAAAGGAGTTTATTAGTGGGTCAATGGTTATGCTTTTCTTTTCAGACAGTCATTGAAGCCAAGGTTCTTTATTTCAGGCAAAAGCTGCACACAGAGTATATCTACTTTTCTATCCTGAACTACAATAAATTCCAAATTAAGTTGTATGATTTCCATGGAAAGGTTAAGTTGCTGTTTAAAGCTATTATGTAAGCACATGGTAAATGGCTTCAATAAAACAGTCACAAGTACAAATGAACGCCAACTACATTTCTTTTTACCCCTCTGTGGTAGATACTCCTCCATTGAAACCCACAATGATTCATCTTTCATGACACTAACGAGGGCTGGAGAGTAGCTGAAAAGTAGATTTAAACTACTAAAATTATTCTTTTAATCAATCATGGTTGTACATTTATTTTAAGAAACTCTTCGTCTCTACAATTGGTAAGCATAAAACTGGTCTTTCTCACAACTACAGCAACTTCCATAAACTGATGAGGTGTATTACCTACGTACATTTAAGAAATAATATTGAATAAGAAATCTTACACCTATTTATATTTCACTTTACCAACCAGAGAAGCAATAGTTATTTCTAGTTCATTATTATTTTTATTTACATAATTTATTCCAGTTTCTAACCCAACAGAATAGTACATCATTCATATGTACAGAAGCATATTTTGCTGTGTTAAAGTTGGAGTCGGCTAATTAGTTACATAAATTGATTACTTATCAGCATAACTTTCCAGGTTTTGGAACAACAAAATCTCATTGTTTCACAGAACTGGAGGGATGTAACATTTCCCATCTAACTATCTCAGACCAGCCACTGAACTGGAGATGTTCAGATTCTCAAGACAGCAGCACAAAGAGAAAATCTCAGCAAACCAGTTCTAGATGCATTGCAAATTATTTCACTAGCTCCGTGGCTTGACTCTGGTTAGTTTTGGCAACTAATAATTTATTTTCGTATTTGTAACTGAAGGCGTTTTGGGAGGTTATAGTGCATTTAGACATAAACATATTTGTTTATTCTGTATAAACCTCTGAAGAATTTAGGTTAGCGATCCAAATTAAAGCCAATTTTAATTTTTTTAATTCACTGTGCCCAAATATTATTTCAGCCATAAATTCTGTTTATGAAATAATGCTTTTGTGAACCTTAAAACAGCTTGAGCAAACTTTTTAGATCTTAATTAAGATAACGTTAGCATTTACAAATAAAGCAAATACACATCTCTAACCTGATGCTCAGCAAGAGGTGACTGCACAACAAACTCAGCAGCAGCTCCTACTTTTTGACTATAATGATGATGCCAGCAGGTCTCCTTCCTATAGAAAGAAACAGAAAGGAGGGGAAAGACAGAAAACCAGTAAAATTTAGAAACAGTAGCACATGTAAAATGAAATGTTATACTGATGACCTACAAAAGGACAAAGCACCATTGAAGAATAACCCAAAGAATGCCTTTTTTTTTTTTGCTTGTACCATATAATCCCTGGAACTGGTACATGCCATGCCTTGCCCAAGTATCTGTAACACTGAAAGAAGTTTCCAAGTTTCTCAAAAATTATATGAAAAAGTATTTTAGTAACCTGTTTAAGCAATGTAAACCTAATCAACAATTTAAAATGCTGTTAGAAACTGAAGTTAGGATCCTTTATTACTATTTTAGAAGATTTTGCCATAGCTATGACCTAAGCACAAAGGTAAAGAGCAGTCTGCAGGTACGGATAGTTTTCTTGTTTATTTCTGTAAGAGCAGTTGGTGTGACCAGGAAAGTCACAGAGGCCTTTAGAGGTTTGCCCTGAATTCAGGTTGAGAAAGGCTGCTTCACATTGAGTTTAGAAGTTAAAAGTCATGTTATCCTCCTCCCAGAGAACACTGCCCACTAACTGCATCCACTCCATCATTTGTAGTGCAGTGTTTTAAAACAGATCTGTGAAATGATCTGTGGCCGTGATTTGACAGACATTTTTTTCAATGTCAATGTTAACATAAGGAGCAGTGGGGAAGCTGCTGCTGCTGCTTACCAACTTGATGCTGCTTTCTCAGTACTGCCAGGACAGCCATTTGTGCAGCTTTGCAGTAAACTGATAGGCTAACAAAACTGTTGGGTTTAACCCTGTTCTCTTCTGTGAGAGGATTCACACTGCATCCCAGAAACAGTTGTCTTGGCATAACAGAAAAAGAGGTCTTGGAAGAGCTGATTGTTTCTAACGCTAATCCAGACTGCAGAAGACATTTAGGTCAAATAATTCTTTAAGCTAAAGCTGCCCAAAGAACGTCTTTGGGTTTTGGGGCTCATTTTTGGTTTGGGGATTTTGTTGGTTGTTGTTTTTTTTTTTTCAGTAACTGAGGTAATTTAACAGGGACTGTTCTGGACTTCATCTCAAAGAAGCACAAGAGCACAGGAAGATGTGTTAATCTTCCTGGAAAGTTAAAGGAAAAAGAACAAGTCAGAGTTTCTCAGTGCTGACAGGCTGGGGTGGAATTCCACTAACAAGTCAAAAGAAAAGATGCTACATTTCTGCCAGCTTTGCACAAGGAAATGATCCAGGAGAGATCAGATGAGACACAACTACAACAGCCAGCAGTTATATTAGCACAGGCTGCAGCAAAACTGCAGCCAGTTCACAAGCAGGCTTCAGAGTTACAACCCGACGCCCTTTTAGCCAGCTGCCCACTCAGGGGTCTCGAATTCCCTTCCCCACTTCCTACAAGAACAGTAAAGAAACAGATCTCTCTGAGCTTGGTTGGTTCCTTGGAGTAGGCACACAACACAGTAAACTACAATTGAGAATTTTTCCCCTCTCTGTTGCAAAGTGCAAAAGGATAGTTTTGATTACACACTTACCTGTTGTTTTTTCCCTATATATACAGACACATATATATACTTACAAATACATATATAGAAAACACAGAAAAATAAACAAACAGTTCACAGTAAGTCTCACTTCCTTTCCTTCCAAAGTCAGCAAAAAGTATTTTGATAATATTTTTGTCTGCAAGGAAGAATTAACAGTCTCTATTTAAAATGAAGCTTTAAGGAAGTGAATACAGATAGCAAATCGCTCCATATCAGAAAATTGCAAAATTTAATAAACTTGCATTTTAGTGCACCACAGGATTTGGATGACATGCACTCATCATTGAGATCAATGTAGTTACTAATGGTTCAAAAAAAAAAATTAAGTAGCTTCTCTACTTATGTATGTCCACAACTGAAACACCTCAGCTAAAAAACCTTGGTCATAGGACGGTATTTAAAAAACCCAAACCAGCATTACTGCCATTTTCTTTTAACTCTCCTGGCCTCAAAATGGAAAAGTCCATGGTTATTAACAATGCAGTGGAAATATACACAGAGCACCCCAAAACTGATCTGAAAACAGAAATTTTTAAAAAACTCACATCTAATACTGTTTCGTAATACTATTGTTAGGTAACTGTAATAATCATCAAGAGTTGTCCATTTGGAGAGCTCTAGTTCACCATTCAGTTCTTTGTTGCCACCTTCTAGTCACTTAAATGTTGACTTAAATGCTGACTTTTAATCATGAAAACGTTTTTCCTTAGGTAACATAGGGATGAACTTATATAAATGCATCATGCACAAATGTATATATACATATAGGTATAAAACAATAGCTACTGTGCTTATACTTGCATGTTTCAGCATATATTTTGAAATCGACTTGAAACTCAGTCTTAAACTATTGTATCTCTTTGCATGAGACACAAGTTTCACACTGCAGTGCACTATTTTTATCTAGCATTAACACCCCATGATGTGATCCCTCAACAAAAGAGGGCTCTCCTGGGTTGACAGTTTTTGAGTTAGTAAAAAAAAAATAATCAAAATTAGCTTCAATATACATGGAAGAGAGAAAACACTGGCTACTGAACTGCCCTATTAGTGGTGAGAATATCAGACTAGACTCAGGTGACAGCAATTTACTCTTTGCAATTTGTACACTGAGTGACTTCATGCCAATGATTTTGTCTTTAGTAACTCTGTCTCTCCACCTGAGACTACATACGAAACTTTGTATAAGCACTTCTGGACCTCCTGTTGAGGAGTTCCACACAGCAGATGGATTAACAATTTTGTTAACAGCAAATAAAAAAGTGGATTAAGGTTTTTGCTGCAATTATAACAATTTCAACTTCACTAGGGATGATAAATGGCTACAAAGGCAAATTAGTTAAGAAATTGCACCTTGCAGAGAAACATCATTTCTCTGAGAAAAGAACAAAAGTTCACTGCAGGTAAAGTCACCAAACACTGAACGAAAGAAACTTCAACCAGAACAGAAATTTCACACGTGACAGTGGCGGGGGAGGGGGGGAGGTCTATTGTCCAACACATATTGTATGAAAAGAGAAAAAAAATTATCATCAAATCTCAATAATCAGTTCATTAAAGCTAAAGATTAACCATGCCATGAATGAATGCAGTCTCAGTAGTGCAAGTCCAGAGCTACGTGACTATTTTGCCTCCACAACATGCTCAGCTCTGTAAACCTGATGTTTCTGGACCACATAGACCTGAATCTCATTAGACCTGAGCTGGACTAGAAGGCACACAGGTTAGCTTCTCAGACTCTGCTTTCTGATTTCCAGAAGCACAGCAAACCTAATTCTACTACATTCATTGCTGAGCTGGAGTTACTGAAGTAACCCAGATCCAAGCAGACTACTCTAAAGCTACTTCAGTAAATCTACATCAAACTTAGAAGTAAGGGAAAGATTCATTAACAAATCATACCACCACAGAAACCCACAAAATTGATTTTAATTTTATGCTATATATATATAAAGTAATGAACTCCTCTGAAATCTGCAGAAAGTGGGTAGCCACACAAGTGTTGCCAAACCGTCCCCGGCCACCAACTCCAGCAAGTACTCAGCACACTGGTTTTCTATTATTCAAGGTATCCTAACTACCTGTCCTTTCTCATCATCATAGATGTTAGGAGACGACTGTAGCTACTATTAGTATACACTCCATAATTCCTGTCAAGACTGAATCACTTCCAAGATAGTTTACAAACTAATTTATATTTTATATTAATTAATTAACATAATATTAATTTTGAAGTATGCTCTAACTTGTCATTTTATTAACACTAGATATCAAATGAATACCCCTGATGTGGCATGTTATAACAGCTGATGTTACACAAATTTCCCATTAAGCTATGGCCAAAACCTAGTTGCTCAAAGTCATACTAAGTGATTCAGAAGCAATCCATTTGCAAGCCAACTTCTGGATTTCTTCACACACACAGATCTTTTCCTTGTTTCCATAACACAAGCTCACAAACAGTGCTCTTCTCAGCAGAATCTTCTTCCAAGTGTACTCCCTATACCCAAGGCATATGGTACATCTTGGACTCACAGGGGGTGAAAACTTTAAGAATAATACCAACTTGTCAGACTTTTCAGCTTGCCTAGTACCTTTTCAGCTATATACAGCTTTCAAATACATTTGCATAAAACTTTTTTTAAAAAAGGTAATCTCAACCCTGGCTGTTTTTCTGGTTTTGCACAGTGTACCAGAAACAAGCACAACTTTAAGAGATGACATCAGCACACGTTCAGATTTGTCAGCTGTTTACAAGTATCCAACTACAGTTCTGAAAACAATACTTAAGTCTGCCGCACACTAGAAACAGCACTGTTAATTTTGATTATCGTTCCTTTTCTACTTAGTTCTGCGTCATCTTTCCTGACAGGGATTAAAGATTTCTCCTCCTTCACGTATCCCAGCCAGCGCTTTGCTCTCCCTTCGCCCTCGCTCCATAACTCGAGCCGTACGCTGCTGGGGACGGTCCCAAGGCTTCACTCCAGGAGCAGCAGCGCTTCAAACCCTGAAGCCCCTCTGGTGGGAAACAGACGGCGCTGCCCGCGCT